GATTGATAGAATGTAGGAAGTGAAAGAAAAGAATCCAGGGTGACCTGTATGGTTTAGGTGATAGCTGCATCATTTTCTGTTTCTAAACCTATTTTCTGTAAGTTTTCTTTTTATTTTCTTTGAAAAGGAGAGAGAAGGGAAGGGAGGGAGGGAAGGAGAGAAGAAGAAGGAGAAGGAGAAGAAGACACACACACACACACACACACACAGAGAGAGAGAGAGAGAGAGAGAGAGAGAGAGAGAATATCTTCCCAATCTTTCCCAATCTGCTGGTTCACTCCCCAAATGCTAGCAACAGCCAGGGTTAGACCAGGCTGGAACCAAGGGTCTAGCACTCAATCCACATTTCCCACATGGGTGACAGGAACCCAAGTACTTGAGCATCCCAAGTTACACCTTAGTAGGTACCTGGATCAGATGTGGGGTAGGGACTGGAACCCACACATTCATATATGGGATGCAGGCATCCCAAGCAGCATCTTAACTGCTATGCCAAATGTCCACCCTGGTAGTACTATTTTCTAAGGAACAGGATTTACCTGTACATGAGTGGGAGTGGGGAATTAGCAGTTGTTGCCCAAGAGTATTTTTGCCACCAAGAAAGATGCTTGTAAAAGGAAAAGATGAGACGGGAGAGTGGCTAGAGCTAGGATGTGAGGAGACTGGGGCTTTCTTTGTTGTCTGCTGCTGTGATGTGTAGGTCTAGCAAAGTCTGTCTATAACTCTTTGTATCTTAAGCAGGGGTAAGATTAAACACTTCAGGACTGTGCTTGCACAATAACCCCCTGCAGAGTCTTGAGCTCCTGGGGTTTCAGGTCATTCAAGTGTGAATGGCTCCCCAAAAGGTCAGGCAGGTCATCTCCTCCAGTGATTTATGTTAGCAGCATTGGTTGTTTATCTCTTCAGAACACTGCTACCAGGAAGAAAAGGAAATTCTTGGAACATTTTATTCTTCATAGGTAGCAGGGAAAGTGACTTAGAAAGCCCCTGTCCAAGTTATTAATTAGCCACTTAACTCGGATCTATAATAAAACATAAGGAATTGTCTCTCCTCAGCTCATTGAAGTATTTCATGTGAGGGCAACAAAATATCCAAAATAAACAATGTGGATCCTGTAGGCTTCTGAAAACAGCACTTCTCTCTTCCCACAGTTTAGTCTCCATAGAAATAATTCAAGACATTGAACATTCATTAATATTTGATCATAATTTAACCAACAATTTTCAGCCACTGAGATAAATAATCTGTCACCAGGAGTTGATAATTGGATGCCTGCCAAATGACTTTATGACTTCATCGAGGTATCTAGATGCTCCTTTGACCAGCACTGATAGCAGGAGCTATGAGTGGAGTTAGGCAAGAATGCTGGTCTCCCACACCCCAATGTGAGTTCTTTGTTATTTTTCTCTTTACATGCTTACCACTCAAAGACTGCCAAACATTTTTGAAGCACTGAGCTTGTGAGACTTTTGACAGCTGAGAATTTGAGGCATTGAAGGGGTAGGGGGCTTATCTAAAATGAAACCAGATTTAGAATCTGAAGAATCTGCAGTCTTACAGGATGAAGAAATTGGAATTTATTTCTGATGACTAATGTCTCTACCTTCCTTATCTTCATCATTCTCCATCCCAACACACAGTGAAAGTTGAGTTGAAAATACTTTTTAAAAAAGTGTTGAACAAGTACAGGCTTTTTTGGTCATTATTTCCTAAGCAATATATTGTCAGTTAAAATTAGGTCTGTCTGCTTCAGCCAATTCACTGAAAAATAAAGCTGATACAAAGTAACAGGTGTGTTCAAGGGCAGTCTTGGGGAAAGGTGGACCTCTTTGGTCCCAAATATACTCTTCCCAACTTTTCAGCTTATCAGGGAAACTTTTAAAGGAGAAAAGAGAGTTGGGGGAAGGGGCACTAGAGAAGATTGTTAGACTGGTTTATAGATTCTGTGCTCGTTCAACTTTGATATGAAATTTGGCAGAGGTGTCTTTGACGTGAAACTTGGCTCATTTTGGCTGGTGGTAGCTGCTCTTCCAGCCAAGTCCTTGTAATCAGCTCCTGGAATTCTTGGGTCTGCATCTGTTGAACAAACATTCTGAACAGCTGCAAGCTTAGCAATTAGCCTTTGTTAATTAGAATGTGAAAAGGAAAGGAAGATGACTTTACAGTGGCAAGTGTGTGGCCAGTCACATGGCTAGAATGTGGAAAAGGAATATGTATTGGGTATGGTTACAAATACAGTGTAACAACTATACAAATATAATATAACCACCACTTATATAGCATTTATGTGGTATTAGACATTTTAAGTAATCCAGAGATGATTTAAAGCATACAGGAGGATGTGCATAAGTTATATGGAAGTACTGTGCTTATTATCCATATTGTTTTTTGTTGAGTTTCTGTCCAGCTGGTTTGTCTATTTCTAAAAGTGGAATGTTAAAGTTCCCTACTATCATTGTATTGAAGTATATCTCTCCCTTTAGGTCTTCTAATACTTAATCTATGCATTGCGGTACTCTAATATGGGGTGTATACATATTTATAATTGCTATTTCTGCTTACTGAATTGAAAACTTTATTATTGTATAATGACCTTCATTGTCTCTTTTTAATAGTTTTTACTGGCCGGCGCCACGGCTCACTAGGTTAATCCTCTGCCTTGCAGTGCCGAACACTGGGTTCTAGTCCTGGTCGGGGCGCCGGCTTCTGTCCTGGTTGCCCCCCTTCCAGGCCAGCTCTCTGCTGTGGCCAGGGAGTGCAGTGGAGGATGGCCCAAGTGCTTGGGCCCTGCACCCCATGGGAGACCAGGAGAAGTACCTGGCTTCTGCCATCGGATCAGCGCGGTGCGCTGGCCGCAGCACTCTGGCCACGGTGGCCATTGGAGGGTGAACCAACGGCAACGGCAAGACCTTCTCTCTGCTCTCTCTCTCACTGTCCACTCTGCCTGTCAAAATAATTAATAAAAAATAATAAAAGTGGCTTTACTGAATTCATTATATTTGATAGAAGTATGGCTACTCCTGAATTATTTTATTTGCGTAGAATATCTTATACCACCCTTTGACTTTTATTGTGTGTGTGACCTTAAAAGTGAAGTGATTTTCTTTTAAGCAGCATTTAGTTGTATTTGTATAACCATTCAGCAATTCTGTATTTTATTTTATTTAAATTTTTGACAGGCAGAGTGGACAGTGAGAGAGAGAGAGACAGAGAGAAAGGTCTTCCTTTGCCGTTGGTTCACCCTCCAATGGCCACCGCGGCCCACGCGCTGCGGCCAGCGCACCACACTGATCCGATGATGGCAGGAGCCAGGTGCTTCTCCTGGTCTCCCATGGGGTGCAGGGCCCAAGCACTTGGGCCATCCTCCACTGCACTCCCTGGCCACAGCAGAGAGCTGGCCTGGAAGAGGGCCACCGGACAGATTCCGGCGCCCCAACCAGGACTAGAACCCGGTGTGCCGGCGCTGCAAGGCGGAGGATTAGCCTAGTGAGCTGCAGCGCCGGCAATTCTGTATTTTATTTTTAAAGTTCTATTTAATAAATATAAATTTCCAAAGTGCAACTTTTGGATTATAGCAGCTCCCCCCTCCCCGGATTATAGGGGCTTTTCCCCCCCATAACCTCCTTCCCACCCGCAACCATCCCATCTCCTGATCCCTCTCCCATCCCATTCACATCAAGATTCATTTTCAATTATCTTTATATACAGAAGATAAATTTAATATATACTAATTAAAGAGTTCAACAGTTTGTACCCACACAGAAACACAAAGTATAAAGTACTGTTTGAGTACGAATTATACCATTAATTCACATAGTAGAAATTCTGTATTTTAACAGAAAAATTTAATCCATTTATTGTTCAGGAAACTATTGATATATTAGATCTTAACTGCTGGCATTTTGATAACTGTTTTTTAGTTTTATTATATGTCCTGTATTTCTTCCTCTCTCTCTTACAATATTCCTTCTGGTTAAATGACTTTTTCTATGAATGTGTTTTGATAACTTGCTTATCATTTTTGCTAAGTTTATTGTAGAATTTTTTGCTTTGTGGTAAACATTAGGCTTGCAGAAGACATCTTTTGGTTTTCATAAGCTATTTTGAAATGATAGAAAATAAACACTGATTATAAAGACAGGAAAGAAACCAAAAAGAGAAAGATAAGAATTTTTATAAAGAACTCTACACTCCCATTCCATTCTTCCCCATAGTTTGCATTTTTGATGTTCCATTTTATTTCTTTCTATGTTGTCCATCTCTTAAATGTAGTTATTGCTATTTTTCAAGATTCATTTATTTATTTGAGAAGCAAAACAGCACAAAGAGAAACTCCATCCTGGTGTCCCACCTGTATAGAAGATGCCCAAGTACTTGTGCCATCTCCTGCTACCTTCCTAGGCACATCAGCAAGACTGCTGGATTGGAAATGGAGTACCTAGGATTTAAACTGGCATTCACATAAAGGATGTTAGAGTTGCAAGCTGTAGCCAAACCTGCTGTGCCACAAAGCTAGCTCGTGTTATTGTTATTTTTAATTATTGTTTCTTAATCCTCACATTAAAGATATGAATGGTTTATTCACCATGCTTGCAATATTAGAGCATCCTGAATTAGTCTGTTCAGTTAATCTTTTTTTAGGATTTATTTTATTTATTTGAAAGACAGAGTTACAGAGAGAGGTAGAGACAGAGAGAGAGGTCTTCCATCCGCTGGTTCACTCCCCAGATGGCCGCAACAGCTGGAGTTGCGCCGATCCAAAGCCAGGAGCCAGGGGCAATTCCAGGTCTCCCACGTGGGTGCAGGAGCCCAAGGACTTGGGCCATCTTCCACTGCTATCCCAGGCTATAGCAGAGAGCTGGATCAGAAGAGGAGCAGCTGGGACTAGAACCAGCACCCATATGGGATGCTGGCACTTCAGGCCAGTGCTTTAACCTGCTGCACCACAGTGCCGGCCCCTGTTCAGTTAATCTTATCAGTGAATTTCCTACCTTCTGATATTTTATTCTTAGTCATTATTGTCTTTCTTTCAGCTTAAGGATGTCCCTTTAGCATTTTATGCCAGACAGATCTGATGGAGGTAATGTATGTTTTCATTTTTTCTCTATAGCTAGGTGTCTATTTAGTTTTATATCTTCCCTAATATTATTTTGATATTTGATATGTTCCTAACAATTCTTTCCTCTAATGCTTAAAATTTATTCATCTAGAATTGGTTTCTAATTTAGAAATTATCTGCATATTTGACTATGTTTTAGTCTTTCTTTCATGCTCTTTCTCACTCACTCTCACTCTTACTCTGTATCAGAATTGTCAAATGCTTCTGTATTTTAGTTGGCCTTTTAGGTATTTTATATTTAATATGTTTTTACCCTTTTACATTAAAATTATTTTATTTTATTTGAAAGTCAGAGTTACAGAGAGAGAGAGAGAGAGAAAGAGAGAATCTTCCATTTGCTGGTTTTCTCCCTAAGTGGTTGCAATGTCAGGAGCTGGGCCAACCTGAAGCCAGGAACCTGTAATACTTGGAATACCCTCTGGGTTTCCCATGTGGGTGGCAGAGGCCCAAGTACTTGGGCCATCTTCCACTGCTAGCCCAGGTGCATTAGCAGAATGCTTGATTGGAAGTGGAACAGCTGGGACTCAACCAGCACTTACACACGATGCTGGTATTGCAGGCAGTGGTTTAACCAACTGCACCACAATGCCAGTCTTTTTATATTTCTTCTTAATTTTTTGTTTTGTTCTGTTCTTGAATTTGTGAGCTCTTGCTGTTTATTTTATTATTTCTTATAGCTTTTCTTCTTTTTTAGAGTGAGAAAACTCTCCCCGTGATTCATTCTCTAACTGCCTGCAACAACAAGCAGTGAAACAGAAACTCACTTCTTGTCTTCCACGTGGGAGCAGAGACACAAGTAGTTAGGCTGTCATTTGCTGCCTCCCAAGGTAAGAAGCTGAAATAGGACCCGCAGGAGCTAGGGTTCCAAATGGTTTCTGAAGTCCTCTGCTAAATGTCTGCCCCATACTTTTTTATAATTTATTTGAGAGGTGCAGAGATACATAGATATTTCCCATCTGCTGATTCACTCCCCAGATGCCCACAACAGCCTAGGCTGGAAAAAGCCAGGAGCCCAGAATTCAATCTGGATCTCCCACAAGGATGGCAGGTACCCAATTACTTGGCCATCCCTTGATGCCTTCCAGGGTGCACATTAGCAGGAATGTGGAATTGGGAGCAGAGCTGAGACTCCAATCCAGGTACTCTGATATGGGCTATGGATGCCCCAAGCAGAGTCATAATCACTGTGCCAAATACCCACTTCTGTGCTCTTTAAGTGCACTTAGAACTGTACATTTCTTCTGAGTGTTGCTTGGAGTACATGCCATAAATGGGTAGTTCAGTATTCTGCATTTATTAGTAACTTTAGATGTGATTTCTCCTTTAACACAAGAATTAGTTTTAAAAATGATTTTAATGGTTTTATAAAGCTTTAATTTTTCCTCCTCACATGTGTTTTTCAATAGGTTAATTCAGTTGGATTCTTTATCACAAATGGGTCTTAAGTACCATTCAGTGTTTCATTGTTTCTGTAGCTGGGCAATTTCCAGATGTTCCTCATCTGAATTATTTCTCTATCACAGACTGATACCATCCAAATCTTTCTGATAATTATCATAGCTCATTGAATTGAGGCAGCTGAATTTAGTGCAAGTTCAAAATTGTTTCTTTCAAGAATTAACTCCTCTTTCTGGGTTTGAGGCAAAGAGCAAGTAATGGCCTGGCCTTATCCAAACCTTGTAGATAATTTGCAACCAAGCCATTTTGAATCTCAGGAGTCCCATTCCCCTAAGTAGCAGGATTGTTGGGTAAGGGGCATATCCAGAGCTCATCCTATAATGGAAAATCAATATTATAGTCTTGAGGATGCTTGTCCATGACTACAGAAAGTCAGAAAAAGTATGAACTACATGTAACAGGTTCTTTTCTACTTCCCCACTATTTGTCAACCCAGGGATTTCTTTTTCTTTCTTTCTCCCTTTCCTTATCCTTATTCCCTCCCTCTCTCCCTTTCTTTCTGATTCAACAGTTTTTAAAACTATTGACCATAATGACCATAATGATAGGATTAAGAGTCAAGACTAGTGTCTGCAAATAATAACTGATAGAATTAAAAAGGAAAGAATGATCCAACATGGGAAGCAGGATAGATAGCAGACTCATAGAATGGCAGATGTCCTAAACAGCACTCTGGCCTCAGAATCAGCCCTTAAGGCATTTGGATCTGGCTGAAGAGCCCATGAGAGTATTTTAGGCATGGAAAGCCAAGACACTCTGGAAAAAAAAATGGAAAAACAAAAACAAAAGAAACCAAACAAACCTAAATGAAAGATCTCTGCAAGTGAGTTCCCAGTGGACAGAATGGGTCATCAAAGAAGGAGGTACCTTTTTCTGAAGGGAAGAGAGAACTTCCACTTTGAATATGACCTTGTCTAAAAAAAAAGATCAGAGTCGGTGAACTCAAAAGGCGTCCAAAGCCTCAGCAACTCATGACAAGAGCCTAGGGTGATTACTGAGGCCATAAACAAGAGTGTCAATTTGTTAAGTCAACAACAGGAGTCACTTTGCACTTACTCCTCATGTAGGATCTCTGTCCTTAATGTGTTGTCCAATGTGAATTAATGCTATAACTAATACTCAAACAGTATTTTACATTTTGTGTTTCTGTGTGGGTGCAAACTGTTGAAATCTTTACTTAGTATATACTAAATCGATCTGTATATAAAGATAATTGAAAATGAATCTTGATGCGAATCAAATGGGAGAGGGAGTAGGAGATGGGAGGGTTGTGGGTGGGAGGGAAGTTATAGGGGGGAAAACACCATTGTAATCCATAAACTGTACTTTGGAAATTTATATTTATTAAATAAAAGTTAAAAGAAGAAAAAAGATTAATAACACATAGTAAAAAATGTTTTGCCATGTATATACATATATATGTTAATATAAATTAATATATATTACAATACATATATAAGATATATAGATATACATATTATTTTTCTTGAAAGTAGGAATATTAATATATAAAGCAGGATTCATGGCAAAGATCACAAAGTGAAGAAAGAAGGATATATTACTACATAGAGGGTATAATTCAGTGAGGACCATTTTTATAACTATCTGTGTACCAAATATTATGGCATCACATGTTTTTTCCTTTTCTCTATATATTAACTTCCACATATGAGAGAAAACATGTAAAATTTGTCTTTCTGTGTCTGGCTTATTTTACTTAGTGTAATGATATCCATTTCTATTCATTTTGTGCAAATGTCAGGATCTCATTCTTTTTTATGGATGATTAATATTTCAGCATGTAAGTATATCACTTTTTTATGCAAACAATCATCAGTTGATGTACATGTAAGTTGATTCCATATCTTTGGTAATGTGAATTGGGCTACAATAAACATGGGAATGCAGGGACCTCTTTCATAAGCTGGCTTTACTTCCTTTGGATATATTTCCAGAAATGAGATAGCTGGGTCATAAGGTAGATTCATTGGTAGTTTTCAGGAATACTTATACTATTTTCCATGATGGTCTTACTGATTTGTATCCCCATTAACAGTGTATTAGGGGCCGACGCCGTGGCTCAATAGGCTAATCCTCTACCTAGCGGAGCCAGCACACCGGGTTCTAGTCCCGGTTGGGGTGCCAGATTCTTTCCCGGTTGCCCCTCTTCCAGGCCAGCTCTCTGCTGTGGCCCAGGAGTGCAGTGGAGGATGGCCCAAGTGCTTGGGTCCTGCACCCTATGGGAGACCAGGAGAAACACCTGGCTCCTGGCTTTGGATCAGCGCAGTGCGCAGGCCGCGGTGGCCATTGGAGGGTGAACCAACGGCAAAAGGAAGACCTTTCTCTCTGTCTCTCTCTCTCACTGTCCACTCTGCCTGTAAAAAAACAAAACAACAACAACAACAACAACAAAAAACAAAACAAAAAAACAAAAAAACAAACAAAAAAACAGTATATTAGGGCTCGCTTTTTCCATATACTTGCCAGAATTGGATAAAAACCATTCTAACTGGAGTTGAGATGATACTTCATCATGGTTGTCATTTGTATTTCCTAATGGCCAGTGATCCTGAGCATTTTTCATGTCCTCTTGGCCATTTATATTTCTTCTTTGGAAAAATGCCTATTCACATTCTTTGCCCATTTCTTAATTGGATTGTTTTATTGTTATTGAATTTCTTGAGCTCCTTGTATATCCTGGATATTAATTCCTAATTGCAGGCATAGTTTACAAATATTTTCCCCCTTTTTGGGGAGGGCGTCTCCCCTCTGAAATTTCCCTTTTCCCGGGAAAAAAAATTCCTTTTTTTTTTTTTTTTGACAGAGTGGACAGTGAGAGAGAGAGACCGAGAGAAAGGTCTTCCTTTTGCCATTGGTTCACCCTCCAATGGCCACCGCGGCCAAAGCGCTGCAGCTGGTGCACCACACTGATCCGATGGCAGGGGCCAGGTGCTTCTCCTGGTCTCCCATGGGGTACAGGGCCATCCTCCACTGCACTCCCGGGCCACAGCAGAGAGTTGGCCTGGAAGAGGGGCAACTGGGACAGAATCTGGTGCCCCGACCGGGACTAGAACCCGGTGTGCCGGCGGCACAAGTCGGAGGATTAGCCTAGTGAGCCATGGCACCGGCCAGAAACTTCTTAATTTGATGTCATCCAATTTGTCTATATTTATTGTCTGTGCTTCTGGGGTCTCCTCCCTAGAGCTCATTGCCTATGCCAATGTCTTCAAGTGTTTCCCCTAAGTTTTCCCTAGCAGTTTGATAGCTTTAAGTCTAACATTTAGATCCTTGTTCCATTTTGAGTTGAAATTTTTTTAGCACATAAAGTAGAAGTCTTGTTTTATTTTTTAAAGATTTATTTATTTAATTGAAAGGCAGAGTTACACAGAGAGCAGAGAGAGAGAGACAGAGAGAGAGAGAGAGACAGAGAGAGAGAGGTCATCCATCTGATGGTTCACTCCCCAATTGGCCACAATGGCTGGAGCTGCACTGATCTGAAGCCAGCAGCTTCCTCCAGGTCTCCCATGTGAGTGCAGGGGCCCAAGGACTTGGGCTGTCCTCTATTGCTTTCCCAGGCCATAGCAGAGAGCTGGATTGGAAGTGGAGCACGCGGGTCTCAAATTGGTGCCCACATGGGATGCTGGTGTTTCAGGCCAGGGCATTACCCCACTGCACCACAGCACCAGCCCCAGAAGTCTTATTTTAAACTTCTGCATGTAGATAACCAATTTTCCCAGGAAAATTTATTGAAGAGATTGTCTTTTCTCCAAGAAATGCTTTTAGTCCATTTGTCAAAGATAAGTAGGTTGTAGATGCATGGATTTATTGCTGGGGTTTCTTTTTTTCTAATTGGTGTTTTTTTTTAAATAATTAATTTCATTTAAGGAATACAACTTCATGCATTTAATCTATACAGATTTGGAAACATAATGCTTATATCCCCTCTACCTCCCTCCCCACCCCCATATTCTCACCCTTCTTCCTCCTTACTCTTCCCTTCTCACTCTTATTTTTACAGAGATAAATTTTCAGTTAATTTTTATACTCATAAGATTAGTCCTACATCAAATAGAGAGCTGATTACTATGAAGAAAAAAAAATTAGTAAAGAACATAAACAAGCAAACAAACAAGGAAAACATTGTTCCCCTACAGTCAAGGCTAGGGCTGCTCAAAATCATCACATCTCAAAGTGACAGTTTCATTCCTATAGATTACATTTTGAGTACTCATTAGTTACCACAGATCAGAGAGACCTATGGTATTTGTCCCTTTGTGACTGGCTTATTTCACTAAGTACAATGGTTTCCAATTGCATCCATTTTGTTGCAAATGACAAGATTTCATTTTTTACTGCTGTATAGTATTCC